GCTTTGCCATTGACTTCAGTGGTGTCTGATTTAGGGTCTAAAAGCTCAGTGCCATACTATGTCTGCAAGACTGGGAATGAGCTTGGGGTTTCTTTAAGTGATATTTTCAGTAGCAAGTTGTCAGTGAAGTCAGGAACTAACAGTTTAGGAGGAGGTCCCAAATGGGTACTGCCCTTCCCATTTTGACTCTTTTCCCCTCCTATTTTGTTTCTCATAGACTAGGAATGACAGACAACCATTTGCTGTCTCACTGTCAGTGCCTCTGGAGTCAAGCTGCATCAAAGAAGTTCTTCACAGAGCTGTTTCTGGGATCTCTTGTTAGATTCTTGATACAAAAGGTAAGATTGAAGAGGAATGAAGGGAATTTTCCACTTAGTGAAAGAGTATGAAGCTGTGACTCGAACTCTAGTTGCTTAATCAAACAATTGCTTCAAAAGTTTGAGTTAAAAAGCTGGTTTTCTTAACTATCTTTCTCAAAAAAAGAACTTTTAAACATGATTTTTTAAATGTTCTGAATATTTTAAATCATCATGATCTTGTTACTTGAAGCCAGTAGCCAAAACTGTGCAATGTGTTTGCATGTTTTCCAAATATGAAAAAATAGGGGAATATTGGAAAAGGAAGGATAAAATGTTGCATGGGTGCTGTTATTTTAAAAAGTTTAACTTACCTCCTGGTGCTTTTGCATGTAATGCAAGGAAGGTTTATGTAAACACACATTTATCACCTCAGTGTTGAAAATACTGAATTACTGTACAAGGCAATTTTATACAATTATCTTTGATTTTAAAATATAAAAGACATTTGTTTATAAGTGAGGGTAACGGAGGGCTGTTACGTTCAATATAACACTTGGCATATTTCAAAAACTTTATGTACACTAGGACAGTTTTCCATGATGTAAAATCCATTTGGATTCCTCTTATTAAAGACAAGAGCTGTGTTCAGAGCTAGTGAAGCCCAAAAGACATCCAACAGCAAAGAATTAGGCCTGGTGACAGGCATTTAATAAAAATGCATAATAAATTGTTGCTGCTTTCTCCTATTCCTAATCAGTTGGTCCATGTTAGGAAACTAATCTACATTGGAACAAAGTTGAGTTGGTTTTGTGTGTGTGGTGGGGGTGTGTGTGTGTTTGGTTTTTGTTTGTTTGTTTTTATGGTTGCTCTTCAGCCAAATCCTTTTGAGTTGGAATGAGAGTGGAGGTCAAAATGGGCAGGAATGTCTTCAGTCTATTTCTGAAGCTGTTTCACCAGAAACCGTGTATTGACTAAGTAGGGGTTTTCTTCTGAGCCACATTTTGATTTGAAACTGGTTGTCTGAGTTGGTAGAGGAAATCGGGTGCCATGCGGCACCAGGAACCCCATTGGAAGAATTAATCTGCATGTCAGAGATCTGGCCATGTATACAAGCATGGTGTGGTTGGATTATGGTTTTGCTTAAATATTGTTTTTCTGTCCCCTCTTTTTTAGATCATGCTTTTGTAGCTGCTAGCTAACTAGCTGCTTGCCAGCATCTGAAATGATGCAGTTTCTGAGAAACATTTCTCTTTGATACTTCTTAAGTATATATTAATTTTGAGATATGCATGAAAGTAAATCTTATATGCTGCCCTTAATTTTGCAGTTGTTTTGTGCGTGTCTGTAGACAACAGGGAGGAGTTACACTATTTGGATCATTGAACAAATCAAATAATGCAAACCTTTATATAGTTACATAAGATGATACATGATAGTGAGGTATCCTGGGGTAATGTATGGGTATGAAACAAATCGGTTGGCAAGAGTAGCAGCTCTACAAAGACAAGGCAAAACCATGGGTTTTTTACCTCCCTGCAACTGAGTAAGAGAGAGATATTTGTTAAGCAAAATGGTATAGTATGATGTTGCAATAGATAATGTGTAGCAAAGAAAAGGGAAAATGAGGGGATTGCATTTAACAAAAATAAAATTTAAAAAAATCTTTCAGTAGCACATCATGGAATTTTTTCTGTTGTCTATTTTTTTAATTAGTTGAACAATATCCTATTTTTAGTGGAAGGTCAACTTGAACTTTATTTAAACAGAGTCTCTGGTTCTGAATAGAGATAGGAACACTTTAAAAGTGATAACAAACGGGAGGGCTTGGAGCCAGACCTTCTTAACCTATCATTACCAGCACAGGATAGCCATCCATGTAGGAACTGTATGCCACTTAGAGAGGGGTCCTTGTTCCGTGCTCAAAGTGCACGCAGTGAAAATAGCACAGAGGCTCATGCGGAAAGATTTTTTTTTTTTTTTTCTTTAAGAGTTTGAAATGGGTCGAAAGAGATTAGTGAAAACCTTTTCTTTTTGAATGAAATGCTGCCATCTGATATCACAGCACCTTCTTTTTTTGTCTGTTTTGAAGTAAATGCTTTCTCAATATCTTAAGTATTACAACTGCAGTTCCGAGACCAAAAACTCCTGTACCTGCAAAAATGGACCTGAAAGAAGCGTTATGAAGATAAGATTGGTAAAGCATTTCTAAACCAAGCAGGATTGTTTTGATTCTGCTGACACCCGTAATGGTCTATCCCCACTACAATTTCATTGGTATCGGTAGAATTATTTAGTTTACTGCTAATATAGGGAGAGCATTGTCAGGTTTAAAAGTTTTCATGGTTACACTTCAGTGGAGAAGATTTTCCTTGCTGTGGCTGTAGGCTCAGGACCAAAACACACATTTTTGGGTAGCTGTTTGTTGAAAAGCAGAGTCTGGCATGCTAGTGCAAAGCCGTAAGTTCTGTAACTGGTCAGGCTGTAGGATTCACGCCTCTGCTGGAACATCTCCTAGAATTTGTCAGTGTGCCGCAACTGGCTGGAAGTGTGTGCATTGAACCAAGGCAGTAATTTTGATAGTATGTCTAAGGGAGAAGAATGCATTAGCTGACCTTACTAAGAATATGAAATACGAGTGTCTGGGTAACTTTGACATAAGTATGGAAGGTGAGTTTATATTCTTTAGATTTATAGTGTAAATTGTATTTGGAAACATTTTACTTTTCTTAGCCTGTTAATTGACTTCAGTTAAAAAAAGTGTCAGAAAGGTGCTCTAGTGACTAGACGGTTGTATCCCAGTACTCCATCCCTGATCCTGTCACTGGCATTCTGTGTGATCTTGCGTAAATAATTTTTCCTCTGGGATTCTGTTTCCTTATGTTACATTGAAAGATGACCTATGCTTGAAAAAATGCTGTGATTTAATGCACTGTAGAAAAAGTAGGCATGACTGTTAAACAAGCAAAAAAGAGCATGTTCTGAATATTATAACCCTGGGAAAAATCTTCATTTGCTATCTCACTAGACATCAGAAAGTCTGCAGGAGACAAGTTCATTGAGGTGTAATGCTTTCCCCATCTCAAACGTTTTTTTCCATAAACCTTAATTAAAGCTTTTCATGCCATTAGGTCCGTCATAACCTGTTCCTTGCCATGTGGATTTTCTGGTATCCAGTAAGAACTAGGCTTACACTATGTTCTTTTCCTTGATAGATTCATTATAAGGGATGATGTAGGATTCTATTTATGCCAAGAACTGTGTTGAAGAACTTGGTGGAAATCTTGTGTCCTTGAGAATTTCAGCTGCTTTTCAGATGTGGTTGAGTTGGCTGATGGATTAAAAAAATGCTCTAGGGAGAAAGTAGACATAGAGGGAAGTGAAAGGGAATGTAAAAAACCCCGTTTGTTTTCTTTTTTGCTCTTAGCGTTAGAAATTATCTTCCAGTTACTTCACTCCAAATCTACACCTAAATGCAAACTTTAAAGCAGCCTTCAGTGAATAAATGTTTTTAACAGATCTGAATCTTGCTACCTTCAATTCTCCAGCTCTACTTTCCTTTGTGGTGTCTTTGCATTGGCAGACATGTTTCCTGTTACTAGTGATAAGAAGTGATAAAATCCGAGGTGGTTAGAGTGTAACCCGACAGCTTTTTATGGAAATTTAGATAATTGGGCAGGTGCATTATAGGTTTTCCCTGGTGTTAAAACGGCCAGATCCTTCCCAGGTGTCAGAGATACCGCTCCATTCCAGGGCATGGTCTGGCCCACAAAGTACGACTGGTCCTCAAGCAAAAAAAGTCCATGCTGTTGTATTGCAAACAACTAGTGCATTTTAGCATTCTGAATACTTACTTCATGTATCAGCTAGAGGATTAAAGAAAAACACAGTGACTGTTTTTGTTGCTACTATAAAACCTGATTTGTACTTGCTGTACTGACTCTGTAGCAAAAGGACTAAGAAATTTTTTTTCCAGAGTGGTGTTGGCACTGATTGATGAAGCTGTATAGTAAATATTAAAATTAAGAACAAATAATAAAACATATTCTGTTATATATTCTCAGCAATGTTTCATGTCTTGGAAGTTCTCATGTGTCCTGTCCATGTGTATTTTAAAAATACTAATCCAGACTATTTTGTTTTAATATTTTTTCTTGTCTTCCCAGGCAATAGGCCTGTGGATTTTATGAAATTGATAGGATAATATATTGTATGTCAGCATAGAGTAACATACAACAGAAAAAAAACAAAACAAAGAAAACAAATTTGGTGCCAAGTTACTGGGCGAGAGCCTTATGAATCCCTTTGCTGTCCAGCTCAAAAGTCTGAGACCGAGTCATTGCCTGGAGACAGAAACTGGCATACAATCAGAATGTATGGGAAGACAATAGCTGTGCTGAAAATTACGAGAATAAGCACCAGAAGTATCAGTAATAACATGTTTCATGTAATCTAATTGTTCAAAAGCTTATTAACTTTAAATTTTTTTGACATACATGTGCTCTAGTATATAGCTTTAAGGATGCCCATCCCCCTGCCACCCCTCCAGCAGCCACTGTGTCCTGTCACTCATCCTGAAATACACTGGAGAGCTTGTCAGGCAGTCCCTTGCAGATGCCTCAGAAGCCAAATAGTGAGCCATAGCAGTTGCACTGAAGTTCCTAGCGCAAGGAAATTACATAGACAGTTGCTTTAGTGCTGAATATGGACCATTTATATTCTAGGATAGGTGAGTGATGTGCTATTGGCTTTCTAATGATCTAGCAGAAAATGGATTCTAAAGATAACGTTTTCTAATTTATGCAGATTATCTTTGGCTCTGCTTTCTGACAGTAATTAGTTTATCTATGTCTGTATACAGTGTACTTACAGATTATTTAAAAGCTGCAGGTACTGTGTTCACATTGTATTGCAGATGGGTACAAGCTTTGACTGTTTTTCATGTGTCTTTTTTTTTTTAACACCAAAATACTCAGCAGTTTCACTTTGGGCATGTCTGCTGAAAAGACAAAATTCTCATTATCTTAAAGTTTGTAGCACTTGCTAGGAGTGTGCAGGTGGTTGCTTTTCTGGCGGTTCTGAGACAGAACTGTATCTCGTGACACATGCTTAACATCCTAAGTGTTGTGAGAGCTGCTGGTCTACAGTGCTGAAATTGCCTACTGTAAAGGTTAATGTAACTGAGTGCGAGGTTATAGCAGCCTTTTACCAAAATATCTCACAGTCAAGATCCATGCTGTAATTAGAGGGCATATGATACTGGAGTAGACATATGCATTTAAAAAAAACCCAGTAGATGGTCTGTGGTTCTTGTTTTTTCCTGAGGCAAGCACCAAAATTTGTTGTCTTAATGAAGATGATCTGGAAGGACAGAAATTCAGTTTGTAAGTGGACATATCAGCAAAACCTCCAGAATGATCTTTACTGGCTGCCTATTTTTCTATCGCCTGTTAGAACTATAGAATGGTTAGAGTTGGAAGGGACCTTGAAGATCATCGAGTTCCAACCCCACTGCCATGGGCAGGGACACCTTCCACTAGACCAGGTTGCTTAAAGCCATTACTCTTGCCTTGATATAAAAAAAAAATAAAAATAAAACCAATCCTATTTAAATACTGATTAGCTGATAGGGTAAAAAACAGTAAGGAGATCCTGGTAAGTTAAAAATAGGTAGTCAAGGAATCAAAATAATTTAAGATTTTTTGTAGTCTTCTCTGCATTGGCTTTCAAGCTTGTATTCATACTTTGGCAGCTTTAAGGAAGTTTCAGGAAGCATTAGAATTTTCCTTTTTTTTTTTTTTTTTAAAAAAAAAAAGACAAAGACTAGAATCAGCAAGTGAGCCCTTAAGTAGGTTATTTGTACCTTAGAATATAATTGACATTTTCAGAAACAATAATTTTTGCAATTGACTTTCATTTAGTGAAAAGTTATGGGCCTGACCCAAGGCTAAACAGCTACTGTTGAGTTCAAAAGCAGGTTGAGCCAGGGCTTGCTCAAAGAATAAAAATGCTTATGTTAGACAATATGCTAAACTTAAAAAAACCAACAACCAAAAAAACCCCCACCCCCCTCCCAAAACCAAAGAACCCCACCCAAAACAACCCAAAAACCTAGAAAAGGGAAAGTCACAGCACATGGATTCACGTTTTTCTGATCTGCAAAAACGGGATTTGATTTGTAATGCTTCCCAAGTTTTAGACTGCTCAGTGGTAGGATTCTGGAGTACAGTGATCTCTGGTAAGAGAAAGTGACTATAATTACAACTACGTCTTTATCTGCCAAATTTTAGAAAAGATCTGATCATTGTAGATGACCTGTATTGTAGGAAGTTGTGCTGAGAGAATGGGGAGCAGCGCTTGCTGCAAGCAGCAAAGGTTTTATTTCTTTCTATCAAGGAATTGAGGGAAAGCCACAGCAAAGTTAAAGCATGAGTGTATCTGTAGAAAAATAACCTGAAAATCATCTAGTGATTTTTTTCGAATCTCAGTAGAAGCATGAAGTGCTATCTCCATCCAGTTCTTACCTCTCCCCTTGCAACTGATGTATGTCTTGAGCAGAAAAAAAAAATCACAGCACAATAGGTGTTATTTATTTGCAACTGTTGATGAATTTCAGGAAGCACTCGTATACTGGGAGGCTTGTGAAAATGTCAAGGATAAGGGTTGTGAACCAACAATGTCTTAAAGATATTTTTTTTAAAAATGTGAATAAAAGGCAGATTAATTGAAGTGTTGGTCAAAGATTTAGAGAATCTGTGAATTGTAGATGGTAAAAAAAAAAAAAAAAAAAAGTCTGTCTTTTCAAGAGTGTGAAATGATGTGGTTTGATGCAATCCCAGTGAAGCTGGAGAAAAATATCCTGTTGAATTCAAAGGCTTTTTGACTGGGGGTGGACACAGCAGAAACAGCTTTTCAGCAACGTGGGTGCTTCTCTGCTGTATGTTTACAGGCTGCACCAACATGCTGACAGGTAGGCACAGAAATGACACGCCGTTTGCCAACACTGCAGAGTCAAACGAAGGTGCATGCACTACTATTTTATTATGGGAGATGCAGTTTAAGAAGCCATTACATAGCAGTGCAGTTTAGAATTGAAGCTAACTAGAAGAGCAGAGATGTGAATGACACTTGTGGCTTTCAGAGCAAGTTATTAGTACTTTAGGAAAGCTTACTTTAATGGGTTAAAAAGGATCTCCCGTTAATATTTGCTATCTTTAATTCAAGAGATTGAGTGAAGGTCTGAAGGTTAGCGGGAACCTGGCATCCAGGTTACTGATAGCTCCCTTGCTAGTATACCAAATGTTGCTGGAAATAACTATATAGGTGTAGCTATAAGAAAGCTTGAATTTTAATCTACTTTGCAGACATAGAACCTTTCTGAATATTCATTGTTCAATAAGATGATGCAGTTAATAGATGTTGGCCCTTTGAGATTGCATTTTGTATTAGCCCTCTCACTCTCGAGGTTTACAGACTTCACTTACATCATTATATATTTAGTGAATTTCCAAAGAGTTATATTGTTGAGAAATTGATTTCACTTTTATTTTTCGTTTCCATAGATAACCAATGGGTGTTAACAGTAAGAATCACTATAGATAAAATGAATAGTAAAAAAAGAACCTGCTTGTGTGAGTACAGAGTGGGCATGTCTTTGGCCTAAGCTGTAAGAATAAGCTCTTGTTGCAGAGCTCAGTTCACCAGGGGTGTTATGTGCACAATATAAAGAGGGTGTTTCACTTTCACAATGACCTAAGTTGTAGTTGTATGAAGCCTTCTGGGTGATTGTGAGTTTGTCTTAGTGATTCCTCCTCTAAACAGCAGATGAAAAGAGCCTGTGCAAGATATACAGCATTTTATCGAGAAGTGACTACAATATTTGTCTTTTTTTTTTTTTTTTTACAATTTTATAGTTCTGTAAAGACTAGATGGTGTCTAAAATATACAATCAGGTAGAAACTGTATAAAGCTTTTGTGTTGAAGAATTCACTTTGTTTAAGAAAAGCCACCAAAACAAACCCAGCAACAAAAACCAACCGAGCACACCCCACCCCAAAAATCCAACATCCCCTTCCCCAAACCTAAGTATTTTTAATGCTTCACATTTGAGATATCCTTTTTCAAAACTGTATGTTACTGAGATATTATGATATGTGATAATGGTGATCTAAATTATTGTACTGTTTGGGTACATGTGGTACAGTTAATTGCGAAGTTATGAAGTCAAAAGAACCGCTAAAATGAATGGAGAGGTCATTGGATGTTACAGGCATGAGGATAACATGTATGTAATCTCCAGTTTACTTTCAGTGCAGCTTTGTAATTCTAGGAAGTCATTGTTTGTTTTCAAAAATCTCATGGGAGTTAAAACTGAAAGGAACAAAAGCAGAGCTTTGAAACTACAAAACCGGTCGTAGCAGAAAAGAAGGATAAAGGGACTATGTTAGAATTACTTCTAAGTCAGTGCCCCAGACAAGGTAGTTCCCCATTATTTCTTCCCTGTATGAAGCTCTCCTTATAAGGTGCCAGCAACTGAATACTCCTATGGAAGTAAGAAATGGGCATAACTACTTAAACTGTCAATGAGGGCAAGTCTCTATTTTCAGAGGAGGCATCAACCTGTATAATCTGGTTTCACACTGGTTACTTCCTAAGCTACAGAGGGATCAGGAGAATATAGGTAGTTCTACTTACTTGAATGTAAGCACTTAAGAATTATTTCCGGATACAGGTGATTTAAATGATGTGAACGTTTTTGTAAACAAGTTCCAGTGTTGGTCTGTGTGTGTGTGCATACCATGTTGTATTTTTACAGCCCCCCAAAAACCCTATGGAATGCCCCCCCCACCAAAAAAAAAAAAAGAAAAGAAAAAAGAGAGATAAGCACTTTAGTTGCAGCCGTGTCTTTCCAGGTCACTTTTGTGTGGGCAACTTTTCTTGTGCCTAAGGAGACTCTGAAAGTGGTACGTGTAAAACCGAAGACTGCAAAACAATTTTTTATTGATTGATAGGCATGATAGAGAGGTAGGACTGACAAACCACCAAACTAAGCATTAACATTCCCTCTGTTCCCAACGAGTCAGATGAGGAAGGGTTGGCTTCTCTTGCTTCTCTGTGACAGGCTGATCCTTGATGATACAGAGTTGCTGTCTTCCAGTTCTTTTTTTCATCCTGTAGGGTTTTATTCCTTTTCATGCTAGTACTTTTCCTCTTGACTTATTGATCTACTAAATATTACCATCCTGACAAATTTCTGTATTTTTACTTTTTTTTTTAACCAAAAAATTTGAAAAGATTTGACAGATTCATAACTATGCCTTTAAATGGATGCTAGATAGGGATACTGTCCTCTAATGTATCATAAACGGTTCTGGATGCTGGAGCTTCATCATGTGAGGAAGGATGCGTAACAATTTCAGCTAGCAGAAGGGCTGCAGTCCTCACTAGGAGACACACGTGTTTCTGAAGCAGTCGATGATGGGAGCTCAGTTCCCTTCAAACAAAGGGATAACTTAAACTGTCATATTTCAAAACTGTGGGAGTATCCTACCTACTGATTCACTGGACAGAAAGAGAACCACTGACACTGGCAATTTTGGGAGTCTCAAATTTTATTTACCTTGGGTTTGTTACAAGTATCTAAAAGTTAAATGTGTAAATATGGCCAAATAATTTACATTGACGTTCCTAGAATTCTCTTATTAATTTCCATTGAAGGAAAAGTGTAATTCTGGTCAGTCTGATCTCAAGTTTTTATTCTCCTTATCTTTTATCTTGGATTTAAAACTGAAAAATTAGTTCTTTGCATATGCTACCACCTGACTGTGCAGCTGAATCTGCAAGAACTTAGGGCTGTGACTACTATAGCTTGTAATAAAAGAATTAACCTGGCACCTTTGCTAAGAATGGCAAAACTCTGAATTACCTTTAACCTTAATTCTTTAATTATCATTCACATTATCTTTGCTTGCAAGTGAAATGTGGATAACTATTCTGTGATAAACAATTCGGATTCTGCACAACTTGATGTAGAAACCCTAAACCTACTGTGTTGTATTAGATCAATGCCAGGTTCAGCGGAAGGTGACAATACATCTCTTTAGCCTTCACAATTGCAGTACCTTATTACTTTATTATACAGCAGCAATGGTTATAATAAGTCCTGCTTAAAAAGGACAGATACCTATTATTTGTGTGTTTGAAGTCTTTATTGGCTGAAAAGGCTTTGCTGAGCTATATTTTATGGGAAGTTAAGTTACTGGAAAATTTAAAATGCCTTTTATTTTGGGGCAATAATCAGTTGCATTCCTACTAAAACACAGTCATAATTTTTTGTTGGCACACACACATTTCACTGCAGCTAAAGGCCTGAACCACAGCCCAGTGAACTCAGTGAAAACCCTTAAATTAACATCAGTGGACTTTGGATCAAGCTCCTAATGAATGATGTATTCAACTTAAAGACCTTACTTAGTTTTAAGTCTGTCTTATTGACTTCAGTAATAGGCTTTCTTGACTTAATCTGTGTTGACACTTAGAAAATATTTGTTATTACAGGGCGTAAAATAACGAAATGTTTCACTTTCTCCTGCTATTAATTGCCAGGGCTTTTAAGAGCTGCTGTATATATTTTTGTTCTTAAAGTATTCATATGACCACTGTAATTTGGCACGTGGAATAAGATGCAGGTATTGTGCATTAATGTCTTTGTTTTGTGATAAATTCCATAATGTAATAATAATTTTTGCTTTAAAGCTCCTTTTTATTGACTACTAGAGAACTTACATTCAGAAGTCTTCTCACGCAATTACCCTTGTGTATTTTTTAATGTAGGGTCAATTGAGAAATCTGGATGAGAAGAAATTATATGTACTATTATTTTACAGTTTATGCAAGTATCTGCACTTTTTTTTCACAATTTAGACATGAGGAATCGGAAAAATTCATTTTACCTCTTGAAATCCAAGCCTGTTATAGAACCAAGTCTGTACTCCAAGAGGCAGTTCTCTGGGCTCTGACACAGGGCAGTGACACTGGCAGTTGTGGCTAATAATTGCTTATTGCATTTTTTTTTTCTTTTGTACCTAGGAGAAATGTCTACAAAAGTGCCAAGCATTAAACTGAAAATTGATCCTCGGGATCTGCAGATCCAGACATTTACAGTGGAGAAATTATTGGAACCATTGATAATTCAGGTATTTTAGTATTGCGGAAAATGAATCGGATAACCATAGAGGGAAAGGAATAAGGCTGAAGAACTTTGGCTCAGAACACTATTATGAAAGCTATACCCACAGGTCTTCTGTACTTGTAGTTTACTCTGGCTCAGAAACTGTCCAGGGGCATCTGTCTTCTTCCAGATTCGGTCATTCACTGAGTCACTTCCAGTTTTGCAAATGCTACGCGGTGTATCATAGCAAATGTTGCATGTTCTAACTAGTCTGTTGTACAGTATTATCTAGTTGAGGTTTAAATGTAGAATACACTGCAAATGGATTTCCAACACATGAGAAGTTTCATATTTTAAGTAGTGGACAGAGTGGAAAAGAAAAGCCTTGAAATCTGTAGGTGAGTTTCTTTATCTGAATTTTGAAAAGAATTACGTTCTGTTGCATTTTAGAAGAGATGCACTAAGAACAATGCAATTGTTGCATATTGTATAAACCTGTAGTAGCATTTTTCCTTCCAACTAAAGAAAACTTGGGCTGAGGGATTTACAAAAATGCTTTCAGGTGTGTAGTTAACTTTTTTTTTTCAGGAGGACTAATTTTACTGCATATTCCGGTTCTATTTCAAGTAATCACTGGTTAAATACGCAGTGATTAGTGTGTTAAAGAGTCTCTCATTATCTCTATATTTGGTATGGATTAGAAATGGCTTTTTTAAAACAATGGAAAGGGACCTACTTGCAGAAGACCTGAACTCATTTTGCAAATAATGTCTATAACTTAGAAAGTGTTAAAAGACCTCTGTAGTGATATGTTACATGGTGAAGAACAGAAAGGACATCTTCTGTTTTGAAACTCAAGCTATTTTGAATTTTCTCTTCATTGTACTTAGAACAAAGATGTCGGAGTACCTGCATTTAGTTTGTCAATTACACATAGCATAGGTGTGCCAGCTTATCACTGTCCTTCAGCTTTGCCAAGATGTTGTACATCAAACTACTTGTCACAGCTGTACGCTGCTTATTTAGTACTCTTTTCCTGGTGCCCGAGGGTATGTTTACATGGCAGTCATTGCTCTGGCTGCTGTTTGGTCACAGAAAGGTGTGGCTTCATTCAGAATTTTCTCTCACTTGCTTATGTACATAGGATACTTCATTGTTTTTCCCGTTGTGAAGATGGTCAGGTATAATGGCTGTAAAGCAGTTTCGGTGGTTGGTTGGTTAAGATCTTTCCAAACTCTTTGAGTTTGCCCCTTACAAGACAATAACGGTTCGTTAAATTATGTAAAAATGTAAACATTATGTTAACAATCAACAAACAGAACTGATGCTGGGGAGGATGACTCTTGGTAAATAGAGCAAAGCCAGATTGAATGCTGTACCCTGGCTGTTACTCTATTTATATACATGTAAGAATTGGGGATATACAGATTATTAAAAAAAAGGACATGTATACCAAATTTTCTATGATTTCCATTTTTTCAATTTGCAACTTCTCTATTTTTAAAAAAGTTAAAATCTTTTTAATTAAGACTGAAACAATTACTTGGACAGGTGTGAAAGGAAAAAATATTTTTTCTCGAACAACTCCTGGGCTTCATTTGACTGCACTCAGCCACTTAGGTACATGGCAAATTTTGTTATTCCAGAAATGCAATTCTTTTCACACACATTGCTCTGATGACATCTTTCTTTCTGTGTCCTGGGAGCCACTCCTTTGCGTGCTATTTCCTTGGGCTTGCCAAGGGTTGGTGACCAGATACAGGGGAACAGTAAGATTATAATTAAAGCAACAGCACATAATGATTGGAGGGAAGAATACAGAGATGAAAGAGGAGGACAATAAAATGATGAGTGTGTTTGGTGTGATGGTTCTTATGTTAATTTGGACTTTCATATTGGAAAAGTCCTTAAATTGTTCCAGAAGTGCTGTATGTGCTCTAAAAGCTAGGAAAAGTAAAGAGGTGCTGATTATGTTTTATAACAGTTCTAGAAAAGTTGCTCTTAAAAATCAGTTAATTCAGTGAAATAAATTTCTCATTAAAAAATAAAGTTGTATTTTCCCCATTTGAAACTCTTGCCTCTAACTCATCCAGTTTCTTTTATTAATTTTTCATTATAATCTTCAACATCTCTTATTTTTGCCTTGATGTTCTTTTCCTCCATTACTCATTTGTCCCTTCTGGAAGAATCTCTGTTTCAGAAAGTAACCTTTTCTTTTTATCATTACTTCATTTCCAGCTGTTACTAACTGAGCTGCCTCTCACTCATTTTGTCTGCCTTTCTGTATTTTTGCCCCAGTGTGATTGACGGTGTATAAAACCTCAGTTAACAGTTCAGTGGTTTGTGGGAAGTCGTCAAGCTGGAGCATCATGTGTGGATGGATTACAAAATTAGTTTCAGAGTAGTAGGAAAAGATGTCTTGATAGACTGCATTTTAAAACTTTCTCTTGTATTACTAGTAGGTCAGACTGTGCTCAGGCAAGCTGCAACACTGTGGGTATTTTTAGAGGAGATTAGGAAATGTAAATTTTGGCCTGAGTTTTGCAGGATCAAAGAAACCTGACAAAACAAAGAAATTCAGTTTCAGAACTAAACAAAGAAACCATCTAATTTTTTTTTTTTTAAACTCTCCTCAAGCATCTTTAAAAAGCTTGAGCCTGTTAAAAATGGAAATCCTTTGGTTGACAGAGAATGTTATTTTGGCTGTCTGTTCCCCCACTCAACCTTAATGCTTTGTTTCATAACAGAACTGTGGAAGGGAAACTTGCAGTTTGAGTGGGGAGGAGACTGAAAGAATTTTGAAAATGCAAAAGCAGGCATTAAAACCAATACTCAAAGAAGGATGATTGAGATGCTGAAAGGCAATAAATGAAAACTGATTTATGATTAGAAAGAGAATCACACCAGTCACAGATACAAATGAATAGTGTTATGTTCTGGCCTGATCCACTTGGCAGCTGCTGCTTTGAACACAGTTTAACTTTATTTTGAGATGTATGTTCTAATTTATTTATTTGTCTTGTAATGCTCTGGTAGGAAAGAGGCAGTAGAAGTGTTTGAGCTTTTCTGAAGTCTGTTCTAGCCACGTATGCCAAGTGTTAGAGCAATCATTAAGTTAACAACATCAATATGAGAAAAAATGAAGGCAAAACCAGCCTATGTGGAAGTCACTTTGCAAATGACTGCTAGATTCTCTCTTTTCCCTGCAATCTGCAATTGGCAGTGGTTATCACTTTGAAACTGTGAAAGCAGTATGACACGTTGTTTTGTATAAAACCTGCTCTGACTTGGCAACTTCTCCATCCTTGGAATAAAACAATGCCCCTAAATTACAATGTTCGGGGGACTGTAGGGGCAGCAGTCTCACTGCATTTCCCTCTTTGCATCCCAAACAGTGGCCTGACCCAGGGTGGTAAGTTCAAATACTGCTGTGCATGGCTCTGCAGAGATAGAAACTCATATGTTGGAAGTGGCATAACTGCATTAGTCTTATTCTGTATCCAGCCTTATAAATTGTACTATCATGGGGATGTACTAATAGCTGCGCTTTGTTTTCGAAGTATTGCAAAAAAGTTTCTTTAATCCTGTCCACCGCCTGCACCCTCACCTGAAGGGGTTCTCTCTGTCTGTGGCCTTTATTTTATTTTATTCCGGGTGCTTTGAGGACATTAGTTTTGAAAGGAAGTCTTTTAGGTGAAGTTCTCTATCAATGCATCTGGCACACTGAAAGTGATAGTTGTCAGAACTGACATCATTCAGCTGACAGCTGCCTTGATATAAATTGGGTACATGCTCAGACCAACAATGTTCCGTTAATTCTGGGTTTTATCAGAGATGCGCTCTGTCATGGAGCAATTAGTGTGAAGCAATCAGTAGATCATAAAGCATTTTCATTCGCATAGCTGATGTCTAATATTTGTCATGCCTGTGCTAGATTTACTCACAAAATATAAAAATTAATGTAATAGAAAATATCCTCTTGTTTTATCTCATCCTCAGAGACTGAAGTCTGTTTAATCTATTTGCTATACTATGTAATGATTATAGTTATGGTTAGGTATGAATTTGATTCTGTAGCAAACTATTATAAGAATTTTTCCTTTTGAATTTACATACATGTAAAAAATTTTGAAAGATATGATTTGATGGGATTGATACAGCTTAATTAATTCATGCAGGAAACACTGTATAACTGCGTTTGCTCTGCAGTCATTGCAAGTCTGATAAGCTGTAAATTTGCCACTTATTTGGATATTGTATCTAAAGTGCTCTCTGTATATTTGTGTATACACACACTCTTAATGCATGTTATGTGTGTGTATGTATACATAAGTAAATATTTGTAAGAGCTTTTCCTTGCCAAACCCCTTGTCTTCCATCTGTTTATGTTTTATACATACCAGCTGAGGAAAGTTTACGGCTGCAAGAAATAGGTAAATTTTACAGAATATGTAGAAACATCCATGTGTTCTAGAGCCTCTTGCATCAATGATGAAAATATGTAACTTGAAAGGCATTTGTTCTCACCTGTCATTCACACTGACAAAAGTTTGCTCACACAGAAAACATACACTATTAGTTCTATGCGCACTGAAAGTGACTAATCAGTATTTATTTGTATGGGCAATACTTTGTTATCCTCGAAGGTCTGACTCGGGTTTGAAGCAGTGAGCAGGGGGTTCTGCTGTTGTCATTAGATCACTGAGTTCATGTCTTGTTTCTTCAAATGTCTAAGGATTGCAATTACACTGAACTAAATTAAAAAAAAAAGTTTTATGATTGATGCTTTAAGATACTTTTATATTAATATCAAAGATGAACCAAATATTTTGATACTCAAGGTACCAAGACATTTTTTCCTTAACTACAGCTATAGTAAAAAGGTTATCTGTAAAGGCTGGCAGGAACTGAATATAGCATGGGAAGAACTGCTGCACAGTTCCTTAGGAATTCAGTATTTGGGATAACCATGACAAAAAATCCCACCCTTTCAGCCAATTAAATAGTGGTAATAACAGGCAACAACAACATGGTTCAGCTTTGCAGCTGTGGTGGCATATGGTCTTGAAAATCTCTCTTAAAAAAATCCTTGTGGCTGTTGCTCCTCACGGAGATCCAAAATAACCTCCTGACAATGATTTCTGTTGAATGCTGGGAGACCTGCTGTATGTAGCAATAAGAAGGTGTTACTAACTGGGAAATGCAGTTGGGCATGAGCAGGATTAATGGGAATATGTTTTTTCTTATAATGGTATCATTTTGACTGTGTTTTCTGCCACTACAGTACAAGCCGTGTTGACAGTGGATCAGAAGGGCACGCTATATTAGGTTCTGTGCAGTTCAGTTATTTCAATGTAAGATCTGCATAAAATTTTTGCATTCAACATTGGGATTCTGTGTTAGAGAATCCAGAGTAATTTTTCTGTATTCCTTAATCTCTATGAGCCAAGAACTATCTATGAAATTATAACTTGTATTTGTGATCAGAAGCTGCCTCTCATATTTTCTGACAGTGATGCTGAAGGTGAAGGGTTTTACAGTCAAGAGTTTTCACTTGCAGGAACGATTATTTTTTTATTTTTCCATTTGTTTTGTTTCTTTTCCTCCTCCTCCAAAACATGAATGAACAGTACACAGAATAGTACTTTACATAAAAATGGAACTACAGTAAAAATCTGAGAAATAGAATATATTATGTTCTGGGAATGGTGATTAAATAGTTACGACACTTAAAAAATGTCTTTTACTTGATAGGATTTGGGCAGCTTCTAATTTTTTGCAGTGTTTTACGCCTTTCTTGTTGGAAGTATCAGCATATAATCTCTTTTACTTGCTCTTAAAAATATGACCAGTGAAACTGCAGTAAATGCTCTAGAAATAATGTTATAGGGTTTGTAAAAATAAAATATATTATTCTTTTTTCCGAGTGCATTCTCTACCAGCTGGCTGCTTTATGTGCAATAAATAATTTCATTTACTTTCTTCGAGCCACAGTCAGAAAAATACCCAAGCCCTGTGTAACAATCTGAGCCAGAGGTGTTTATGCTGCTGTCTCCATGTGACATGCCGAAGCAGTTGATGTCAAGTGGCTGGTCCTTTTTCCCCCCAAATTCCACATGAATGATGTAGGGGTCAGGGCTTTTGTCTTTCAAAGATGTGTTTATAGAAATGCTTCCCAGAGGGTGTTTGTCAGTTACTTTTAAGAATACTGATTTATGAAAAGCACTAAAGTGCATGAATTCATGAACAAGATCTAAAGGTGAGGTAGGGCACAGCCAGCACACTGTTCTCATTTTATACCTGAGAATGGAGCCCTTTTCCATAGACCAGCTCAAACCACAAGCTGTACAGCAGTCATTAGCGAAGTTTGCCTGCTGGACTGAGAAATTCGTACACAGCTTTTGCTTTGCTTATACAATGTTGTTGATGATTGGAATGCCATTTAACAAAATGAAGCAATTATATAAAATGTGTTCATTGAGCTCCGAGACTAGATCTGTACTTAATATTGTACTATCCATGTTCTGACACAGAGAACAGGATAGAAGGAGGGTTAAAAAACATCAGTGAACTTAATGAAAATAAAGTATGTTTTAAAATATCTGTATAGCACTTTTCTTTTAAAATCTTTTGGGATCCTTTCCTTAGTGTGACAGCTCAAGCAATGCCTTAGAGAACGGTCTGTTAGAAACATTCTGTTGGAGTGTGGAGGCTGTGGTCAGATGATGAGGAATGTGGAGTGGGTTGCTATATAAAAATAAGTTCTTTATGGATGTTGAAGTGCATTGGTAAAAAACATAGGACAAAGCTGCAGTAAACCTACATTCCGAGTAAAATGACGTACCATTTTAATGTTGAGAGCCTGCCTGAGAATTCTGACATGCTGCCTTCTGAGCACTGCAACCCTCCTTTGTAAGATGAGAAAGCATTTTGAAATGTATCTATACTCATTTTGGGTATTTGCTTCTGAGATAACTTGGGAGATTTAAGCTGGAAGGATGGGAAGATTCAGCACTGAATATTCCTGCCTTGGCTGAAGCTTCCTTAGTAGCATTAGCAATTTTTTTTTAGCATGAGGAAATTTTAAAATAAACAGTGTCAGGAGTTTGCATCAGGGCTAATATGACAGTGAGATTTTTATTGAATTTGCTTTGATCATACAGAAAGAAGAATACGAAGATGAGACATATTAAGTAAAATTACCTGTGAATTTCGATTCGTTTTGCCTATTCTCAGGATGTATGCTGAGCTTGCCTGTCTCTAAAGCAGGAGGAATCCCAGTGCTTATTCTCAACTATATTAATTTGAGTTTTTTAAAATAGGAAAACAATGTAAATTCACTTATTATAGAACTTAGACCACTATTGTCTTTTTTGTTTCTTTTAAATGTAGGTTACAACACTAGTGAACTGTCCACAGAATCCTTCTAGTAAGAAAAAGGGCCGTTCCAAAAGAGCTCGTGTCTTGCTAGCTTCTGTGGAAGAAGCCACCAGGAATCTGTTGGACAAGGGGGAAAAAATAGCCAAGGAAGCAATTGTGTTTAAAGAGGAACTTCATGCAGCACTCACTGATGTCCAGAAAGAGAGTAAGTATATGACAAATAATGTAGGCACCGTGAGGAGTTAGTTTAACCATGTAACACTGGTGTCAACATGAAGCTAGGATATCCATGAGAAATATGGTTTGATGTGCAAGTGTCTGAACTTTGAGTTGTCTAATTGTACGTTCTCAAATACCACTTGGAAGGAGGTAAAGTGTGCAAGCTGGGCCCCATTGTGGAAAAACTTGTATCAGTGAAAGTTTTGTTGGTGGTTTGTTTTTGTGGGGGGGTGTGTGTGTGTTTGTTTTTTCTTTTTCAGTGAAGACAGGATAGGATGCCCCTTGTTAATTTTAGTGGCTGTTAAGCACAATTTTAAGTTAATGCATGCTTTAACGCTCTTCTTGAAAAGACCTGTTTACCTCGATCTGGGATTGAGGCCTTTTAGTTAAAAATTTGAAAACAGAAATCTTCACTCTTTTGTGCAGTAGTAACAGTCTCATTTTGAGACTTCAGTAGGAGGAAGATGGATTCTTTAACCCACTGCAAGTTTTTCCCTCATGATAGCGCAGCTCATCTTTGGTGAGTTTTGCTGTATTCCATTTCCTCATGACCTATCTCCCCATGTCGAACCAGACTCCCAGAATAGGACTAGGTTTTATGATCTGCTCAAAACACTGTATTACCCATTTTCTTTCAGCCTCTTTGTTGCGTTGTTGATTTTTACTCTCCCCATGGATAATCAGGGCCTATTGGGTGAATATGAAGGCCAGGCTCAAATAGTAGTAAGCTGCATGACAGACATCCAAACTGTGTTCCTGCAGAAATCAACCTTGAAAATTGATTCAGGAGAAGTTTTCAATGGAAAAAGGAGACAGAAGAGTAATGCTTTTAGTGCCTGGTCATTTGAGAATCATGTCCTTTCATCAGTGTTCCATGAATTTTGCAAACAAATGGTTCCCAAGAGTTGCCTGGCATCAGATTAAGAGGGGCTGGTGAAAGCCTTCCCAAACAACTGGGAGCAGGCAGGCAAAGAACAGTGGGCTGTTCCATAAAGTTATTATGAGGCCACGTTATCGAATGAGCTAGCAACCAGGCTTGGGTTTATGAAGGGGCAAATTGGACTTCAGTAGCCTTTTCGCTACTGAGCAGTGTGGTGTATGTTCTTATGGCACCTGACAACTTGTGCCTGAAGGACTGCGTGTTAGCCATTTAAATTAGGTCTTTATATCACCCTGCTCTTACTAAAGTTGCAACTTAATGAGGATATTTTTCTTTTTATTTTTTATTTTGTCTTCCTCCATGTGCAGCTGGGGCGATTTCTGAGTCCCTGCTGTTGTTCAGAGTGGTGATTACTAGCTATTGGCTTCCTCTGGATCCAGAGATGGCTGCACTTTAGAGTTTGATATATGCATATGGTGTCTGAGGTACCTTAAGGTCCTTTGTGATTAAAAGCATTATGACCAGCAAATATCATTGTTATCTGTCATACTGATCAGCTGAGGCTTTTAAAAAAATCATTCATTTTGGAGTACTCTTAAAATGTTAGCCCATCCATTCCAGGCCGATAACACAAGAATAAGATATATAGTCTTATATTGATTTTTATACATAGATAATATAAAAATATTTCGCATTTTCAATTTATTTATTGATTCTCAGTCAAGATCAGAGATAACTACAAAAATAAATAATACATAAAGTAGATTATATACACCTCATACATTTTAAAAGAAAGTTAAGTCCATGTTATCACCTGTCGTTATGCAATGACAAATTGAGTATACACAGCCTATCTTCCTCCAAGTATTTGCCAAACCACACAAGTTAATGTTAAGAAGTTGGTGAACAATTGTAAAATAGATAGCAGTTTGTTAATTTTACAGATATTTTTAGTCCTTTAAAGCTGTGTATTATTTATAATTTGTGATATGCCACATCATATGTAACTTCATTGCCTGTTACTCGAGTGACGTGCTGCTGCTGTTAAATGCCTCATGTTATTTGCTTGAAGGTCTTTGAAAGGATGTGGGTCGTAAACTGTGCTTGCATAGAGTCACCTGCCACACATGTCATAGCATATAACATTTAATTTTCTGTGGGTGTATTTTTCTGTGGTGACTGGCAGGTATATTATATGCTCTTAAATAAATTATGAATTTTTGCATATGGCTACAGCTTGTATTTACTGTGTGGTGGAATTTTGAAACAATGCTGTAGATAATTTCACTCAGATGTGGACTGAACTATCAGTCCCAGAGTTGCACACCAACATCTGGAAAGAATAAATACTCTTACCTCTTTTCACATTTTAGCTTGTGTCACTCACTGAGCTTGTTGAGCTCAAGACTGTAACATGAGAATTCAACACTTATTTCTTTTGAATATCAATCACCAGTGTGAAAATGCTGCTTTGTTACTTTTGGAGCTGATGAATAGGGGTTCCTTTTAGAGGAGTGATAGCCTTTTTGCAAGCTGCTGCCGATAATCCTGTTCAAAATAATGTTTTGAGGAATAAAGGGGCAAAGTAGTAGGTTAAAAGTGAACAGTGGAGATAAGATAAATAGAAGATTTGTCATATTTAATTCATCTGATGCATTAGTTACTCATCTAACGTCTCCAGAAATGGGGGCATGGATATGGCTTCACTGACTACAGTTTGGTCTTGACAAACACTGTCAGTAGATAAGATTTTTGTCTCTCGAATTCAGTTAGTGACATCTAGTTAGTGAGTTCTGCTAGTGACATCTGAAAGAAGGTGTTGCTATAACGAATGGCAGGCACATTCTAGTTTCTGCTTCCTTTGACATATGCAAAGTTTTACCTAAGATTTATAGTCTTGGAGTTGATCGTTTTAATACAGACGTCCTCTGCATATTGCTTTGATTTGCCTCTAAATAAAGTACTTTTTAAGGCCTATCTCTATCTGCATCTTGATTCACCACCTTCTGGAGCTCTACTAAATGAGTTGCCAGGCAGGCCTGTGGGTGGTGGACTACGTGCATCACCCAGAAATCCACCAGGCTAGTAACTGAAGAACTGCCATGTTTCCTGTTGATCTGGTTTGGTGAAGCTTGGTTAAAGAGTACTTTTTATTCTAAAATAGTGTAATAAACCCAAATTAAGTATTTTGAAAAATTCTCAGTGCGAGATTTCATTTATATGGCATTTCAAAAAATTGCCTTCTGATTCATAATGTGCTGTGAATTAATGGTAAAATAACTGACCCCTATACAAAGGAATAAGAAGCATTGTTCAACCATGAATGCTTCTGACACTAAACATCAGACTCTAATTAATGTCCTGATTCTGATATTTAATCAATTTTAAGACAAAACAGTAACGTGGGGAAACATTCTCTTAGGAATTGGCGTTAAAGTATAGCATTATACTTAGGATAAGGATTTCTTGCATTTATGTCAAGGTGTGATAGCTTACAGTTTTCAAACAGCTTTACAGGCATAGCTAAAACGTTTGGTATTTATTGCCATTCCTTACTGACTATATATGGTCAGAAACACAACAGTTTTTGTCTGCATTGTTTCTATCTATTGCAATGTTAATGTTTCATGCGTTTAGCTGTTATCATGCCCAAGTGTGTTCCTAGATAAGCCTTTCATCACACACAACAGTGAATTGAAAGCGAGTTACTTGCTAGAGTTACATTTTGACCCTTCAGTTACTCTATAAAAGAAATTAGACAAAAATACTTTGGCATTTTGAATGTCCATATTTAGTGTCTTTTGAAATTAAACAGGAGAGGCAAGACTTTACTGGCATGGAATCAACTACCATTCACTGGCATGAAATGAGGAGCCTACTGTAAGATTATTTACTGAAAGAAGAGGATAGTGATCTCTTGTATTAAACTATGTTCTTATTTGTTGTGTGTTGTTCCTCCCCCCCAATCTTTAAAATATGCTTTGCTTTCTCATTTACATTGAGGTTCATGCACGTGCTCTGCATCTAAGGGACTTTCATTCTGGGAGAAACAATTTAGATATTCAAGTGGCTCAAAATAATCTGTGCTGTACACGTTTTTCATCAAACCAAGAATAGATACCTTGTAGAAAAGCTTCTGACATCACTGTCACTGGATCAGGTGTTTCTGAGTGGGAAAGGGGGAATGAAGAGATGGGTGTAAGGCATGAAGGGGGTGTGTGGTGGCTCTGATTACACATTAGAAAGAACTGTATGAGATGTGGAAGTGTAACTTCCTGGTATGCAGTGGTGAAAGAACTGCAATGCAACAGAATGCAGTGGTATCTGAGTGGGGTAAGAGACTGTGTGGCAGGAGAAAAATGTCCTGTAACATCTACAGAAAGCTAGTGTGAGAATCTGAGTTATCATGGGGTTGAATATTAGGAACATGCAGGAGGTATCAATCTGCTTTGCCCTGACACTGATAGTGTCACTTCCAGCTGGCTGGCTGAAGCAGAATCCTTTATTTGCTGTAGCAGACGGAGATGGTATTTCTGGGAGCAGAACAGGTGCTTATACTAGTGACTAGTATTGTTTAAGCTCTTGTTTTTAGGAAGGGTAGGTTGTTTTGTGCTCTGAGGTGACATTGACTCCCAACCTCCTCTGGTACTGATTCTGCTTATGTGTTAGTTCATGCCTGTGGAACTTGAGGCTGCAAATACTAGTGTAAATCAGAGTTTGTAAGTTTTCTATTATTGCTATAAACCATCATTCCTACCCCCCCCCCGCCCCCAACTTTGAGACTAGAAAGATTTTTACTGACTCTGGTACCTCCCTCCCTCCCTTAGTCAGTGGGCTCCCTTTGAGAACTGTATTTCTCTGAACTGTAAATCCACCAGTCTCTAAGGGTGCAGTTCACTTGAGTGGGTGAGAGGACTTTCTTGGCAACAATACCTCGGTGTGGGAGGACACAAGAATGGCATAAAATTCACAGCATTCCATGTGGATTTCACACTGCTGCAGTTAAAAATAAAAAATGAGAGGAGAAAGCCAGATGTAAAAACAAATAGAAGAGAAATGTGATGCTTAGATAGGATTTAGTAGGAGAAAGAAAATCTATTCAAAGA